TAGAAAGTCGACCTCTGGGGCGCTTGGGTGGCTCAGTCGGTTGAGCGTCAGGCTTCAACTCAGGTCATGATCTTGTGGTTTGTGAGTTCGAGCCCCGTGTCAGGCTCTGTGCTGACAGCTCGCAGCCTGGAGCCTGCTTTGGATTCTGTGTCTCCTCCTCTCTCTGCCCCTCCCATCCTCATGCTCTGTCTCTCTCTGTCTCTCAATAATAAGTAAACATTAAAACTTAAAAATAAATAAATAACAAATAAATAAAATAAAAAGTAGACCTGTTTCCAAGAGTGTGCCAGGTGCCAAACTTCCTCCTTCAGCAATCGAGAAATGCTCTCAGGTCGGTATGACTGCTGTCCCCATTTACAGGGGAGGAGAGCAAGGTGCTGGAAGGCTGTCTAAGGTGGCCAAGGTCACAGGGCGGCCGAGTGGCCGAGCACAGCCCAGGCCTGCAGGCTCTCCCGGGACCTGGTCTGGGGGAGGGGAGCCTCGCTGCCACACCTCAACAGTGGGCACGCGGGTGAGGGGCCCAGCTCTCCGGCTGCTCAGGGCTGCCCGGGCGCCCCACCCCCCCAGCGGGGTGGGGGCGACAAGGCATCTCAGTCCCTCTGCCCCCCAGTCTAAAGGCCCACCTGCCTCCTGCCCACAGAGGGGCTCCCCGGGCACATATCTGAACTTACCTTCTGTCTTCAAAGTGCCCTAATCTTCCAGGAACCCCCAACAGCGGCGCCCTGCCAGTGGAAAGTCGGCGTCACGTGGCTGTGGGGCACGTTCAAGGCTGGGTATCCGCCCCCGCGCCCGCTTCCCCGCTCCCGTCCTGCCAGCTCAAGTGCCTCCCGCCCCGGGGGCCGCCACGTGCCCCCTCCCCACCCTCCGGTGACCCGCGGGGACTCCCGGGGGGCGGGGACGGGGCCTGGGGCTCTCCCAGTGCCGCGGGGCCGCCGGTGCTCCCCCCACCCGAAGCAGCTGCTTCGACGTGAACTCGCTCTCCGGCCCCGCTGACCCTCTCCCGCCCGGTCGGCAGCGTGGCCCGTGTGTTCCCCGGGGTGAGGGCGCGGGGCAGCCCAGGGCGCGGGGGCATTAGGACGGGGTGGGGACTTGAGCGACAATGTCACCTGAGCTGTGAAGCCGGAGCCAGAGGAGCGCTCCTCAGAGGCTGTGGGGTGAAGGAGGTTGACGGAGCCTCCGCCTGGTGGAGGAGGGCTCGCGCCCTGGCAGCCCGAAGGTTCCTGCAGCCAGAGGCGGAGAGAAGTCTTGATCTGTCCCAACCCCGCCCGCCC